GAAGCATGTGTTTTCTCTTGACGTCGGGTGCTGTCAAATCGATTTTTTTTCGAATTTTCGGAGAACGGATGACGCTACGAGTCTCATACTCTAAAACTATAATTCTTAAGCCTAGAACAACTCAGAACAAAAAGATCTCGGTTGGAACAAGAAAGATAGTATAAGTTTACTCTTGGTCCGATAGACTGTTTGTCAAAAAACTTTTTTTTAATTTTTCGGGCTTATAATTAAACTTATTGATTTGTGCTTTTGGAACAATGTTTGGAACAACTAGAACAATCTATATCGGTATCGGAATGCTTTATTTTCAAAAAATGGGGTGCCAGGTCAAAAACATTTTTTTCATTTTTTAGACTTATAATTCAACTTACGGATTTGCCGTTTTGGAACAATGTTTGGAACAACTAGAACAATCTATTGCGGTATCAGAATGTTCGATTTTCGAAAAGTGGGGTGCCAGCTCAAAAAATTATTTTTTTTGTTTTATTCGAAAACCGTTTTGAATGAAGCAATATCACTTTGGAATAATGTGGTACAATGTCAGAACAATCTGGAACAACTTTCAAAATTATAAATTTCAAAAAGTGGGGTGCCAACTTCATACACTCGTAAGAGAGTCAGTGTTGTCACCATCAGAGTGATTATATAAGGGTGTGATCAAATCATCTAAATCAAATGCCCAAGTAAGGAGAGGCTCGCGAACAATCTATAGAGAGGAAGTGCATTTCGAGCTCAACACTGCACTGCATGTTTCGCTTATTTAGCAATTTGGAAACCACTAATAAGATATAAAAAGAAGAACCTCTTATAAGAAGTTCTTTAGTAGAACCTTTAGACTGAGGGAAAAATTACCTTAAAACCAAGAAATATTTGTTTGATGGGCCATCAGAGCCTGATGGACAGCATCAAGTCCTGTCCAGAAGAGATATATCGCAAATTCGGCATGGCGACTAAGAGAACTTCTAAGACTACGTTCGACCCCGACAAAGACACGATAGAGCAGAACATAATACGTCCGCGACGTTCGAATCAGGAAATCAGGTGCTTGACGCTTTGTTAAACGATTTTTACGAGATGGACGAAGTACGTCGAACATTACATATACTCACAACACATGAGGCCGAACATGTTCGTGGCCAACTATGGGGAAATCCTATCAACTATAGGGAAATCCTATCAACTATAGGA